CACACACACACACACACACACCACACACACACACACACACCAAACAAAAACAATGTAAGTTTGTTTGTTCACTAGCATAATGGTACCCCAATGACACTATCCATTTCAGAAAAGTCAGAAGCACACTTGCTTCAGCTCATGCCTTCCCAGATTTGAGGTGGTACACTGCTGTCATGTTGTCCTAGAGCCAGGCCCATGGACATGATTTTACCTGTAGAAGGATAGACCTTGGAAGTGATAGTCACATAAGGGGGCTCCACAGTAGTGTCGTTCTTGAGACCTACTCCCTGAAAGCTAGGCATGATTTCAGTTCTTGCAAAGACACAGCAAACCTCATGGGGATCCCAGGTAACTACTAGGTAACTCTGGTCTGCTGGGTGGTATTCTCGTGTGTGTGTGTGTGTGTGTGTGTGTGTGTGTGTGTGTGTGTGTATAAAAGCATCTAGAAGAAGCTTGGTGGAACTGGAGAACATCTTCCTCCTATTGGCTACCTTTGTGGGCCTCCAGAACACAGGACAAGCTGAAGGGTGATTCTAAGTCTGGAAGCTCAGGTTTGTCCCCATATAAGTTTGGGCCTGCTGGAGGCATGTCCAGTAGGCTTGGATCTCAGGGCAAGCATCTGGGAATCAAATCAGCCTGTGAATCCAAGAGCCCCTTCCCCTAGGCTTTGGTCCTGCCAGGGGTCTTGCTCACAGACCAGCAGCGTCTTCCCCAACTCCTGCTATGCATGGAGCAGGGTGGGAGGAGGGTGAGAAGGGAAGGGCTATCTACTGCAGGGAAACTGGGCAGAGAAAGGGACCTGTGGCACTCAGAGCGCCATCCTTCAGGCTACCACCAGGTGGGGCGCTTTCCCCAGACAAAGAAACCAGAACCCTACCAAGTAAACAGCAAGAAAAGCATTCAGAATCCTCTTTAGTCACATCACAAGGGGGAATTTGGACCTTTTCATCTTTAAGAAGGGATATATAGGTTACTTAGGGTGAAACTTTCCTTGGGGTCTAGCAGCTCAAGACCTCCAACTACCTTTTCTCAGCCTCACCTGCTGCTCCTGATGTTGAGGTTCTAGTTATCTGCCCTCACTCCCCACCTGGTAGAAGGGCCAGAGAGGGACAACTGAGGAGCCTGCTCGCCAAAGCATTCAGGGATCTCTCCTGTGACTAATGACCCCAGGCTTAGTTCCAGGAGGAGGGGGCCAAGGCTGACCTAGACAGAGGGTCACCAACCATGGATGAGGGATTCTCTGGACAGGTGGGTCAGATCCTGACCTTTTCTGTCCACAGCCTTGACAAAACTGTCACTCAGAGTAAACTCACAGAGCCCCTTTTGACCTCTCCTTTCCAAATTCCTCCCTTAGCTGCAGTCAAACTGGCCTCAAAGCTCCATGCTTCATGAGTCAGAGTACTCTGGCCTCAGGGCCTTTGTACCAGCTATTCCTTCTGCCTAGAATGTTCTTCCAAAACAGAAGCATGTGGTTTATTATTTCATCACCTTCAAGTTTGGGCAAAAATCTTGCCTTTGAAAACAGACCTTTTCTAGTCAATGCACCTAAACTTGCAACTGGGTCTCCTTTTTCAGCTCCTACTGTCTTTCATTCAACCTACATAGTTACTATTTTAAAATGTTTATGATTTATGGTCTGTGATCTATCACTAGAACTCCAACCATAGAGCAGAGATATTTGTCATCTCCTCTGATAGATCTTAGAGAAGTCTATTAGAACCTGGCTCATAATGGGTCTTGGTAGATCCTTGATAGATGGAAGTAGTTGTGGTGGTATTGTGTTCCCCAAAATATTGTGCACCCTAATAAACTTATCTGGGGTCAGATACAGAACATCCACAATATTAAACACAGAGGATAGGCAATGGTAGCACACGCCTTTAATCCTAGCATTCCAGAGGCAGAAATCCATCTGTTCAAGGATACAGCCAAGCATGGTGACTCACGCCTTTAATCCCAGAAAGCGAGCCTTTAATCCCAGGGAATGGTGGTAGAAAGCAGAAAGGTATATAAGGCGTGAGGACCAGGAACTAGAAGCATTTGGCTGGTTAAGCTTTTGGCTGGTTAAGCTTTTAGGTTTTGAGTAGCAGTTCAGCTGAGATCCATTCCGGATGAGGACTCAGAGGCTTCCAGTCTGAGGAAACAAGATGAGCTGAGAAGTTGGCCAGGTGAGGTAGCTGTGGCTTGTTCTGCTTCTCTGATCTTCCAGCGTTCACCCCAATACCTGGCTCAGGTTTGATTTTATTAATAAGAACTTTTAAGATTCCTGCTACAAGTAGTTATAACTAGCACTGCAGGGAAACACAGGACACAGTTCCCTGTTCAGCTCTGCTCATTCTCTCACCCCCTTTCCCACCTCTCACTCTGCTCTTACCTTCTTAGCCATTGGCTTGGATAAGCTTATTGCTCTTCCCTTGAATGAGGGAAGCATGCTAGGCACTGGTCAATACACACAACTGAAAGTCACAACCCCCTACTCCTGAGAGCCACAGATTCATGATTTTGATGTCCTGTTTCAGTCTGGGGTCCCTCAGGGCTTGTGCCTGTGGACTGTTGGCCAGGCACCGCTGGGTAACAGTGCCACCATGATCTTACAATTCGAGCTGCTCAGAGGTGCAAAACACCCACAACCAGGGGCGCAAAACCCAAATTACCTGGGCAGATCAGCAGTGCAATGCTCCTGTGCCAGACCCAGTATCAGCGTCTGAAAATCAGGAGAGAAACGCGGGGAAAAAAGGCTTTAGTTCCCTAGTGCCCAGCACAGGCCAGCTCCTCTTCCCCCAGGCGCTAGAAATGGGAATTTCGGAGCTACCCTGCTCAGCTCTTCCAGTAGTGGCCCACCGCCCAGGGCTTCCCCAAACATTGCCACCACCACTCCTCCTTCCACTCTCCAGCCACCTGTGCCCATTCTTCCGCACAGCTGCTGAGATGGGCCTGCGACCCGCAGCGCCTCCCTTCTTCTGCCTGCCTGCATACCTGCGCGCCATGTAGCTTTGGCCTCTCCTCTGCACCTCTACATTGGGTAGAACCATGGCTAAGGATGCTGCCTCTAAGAAGCTCTCCCGGTAGGCGCCCCGAGAAGCTCAGAGCTCTCATATGGTTATCGACCTCACCTCTGTTCAGGAGGCTCCTACTGCATGGCTGTCCGTAGGGTCCGCCGCTGCAGAGGAGCTGGGTGCACAAACAGTCAGGGTCGGGGCGAGGGTGGCGGCAGCGTGGGAACCAGGCGCAAGGGGGGAACACGGAGCATGCGCGGCGCTGCGGGAGGGCGGCTCAGCCGGCTCCCAAGCCTCCCGGTCCCGCTCCTGTCTGGCTCTCGCCCCATTCAGGCATCTGGTCTCACTCCCCAAGCACCCGGGGCATTTCCATTTTCTGCCTTGGCTGCTCTGAAGCAGTGGAGTTGCAATGGTCACCATAGCATAGTCCTGAAGCAGACTAGGGAGGCCCTGTCAACCCCCACATCATTGGTGAAGCACTTCCCATGGATCAGATCATTGAGTTTTCCATCCATCCATCCATCCATCCATCCATCCATCCATCCATCCATCCATCCATCCATCCATTCATTTCTCTAGTATCAAGTGGCCTGGCCATGATCTCCTAATAAAGGACCATTCCTGTGAGCAGAAGGACAAGGATCAGAAAGGGAGTATAGGGCATAAAGGGGTACTTAGTAGATGTCAAGGTAGAGATGGAGAAAAGAGAGGAAGTGCAAGAAGTGTAGGTAACCTATTGAGCACAAGGTCTTTCACTCAGGTTACCCCATGTGGTCAGCAAGCCAGATCCCAGGGTAGGCCTTTAGGATTGCCATTTCCCCACAGATCACCATCTACATAGTGGAATCAGTATGGAAACCCAAGGGTTGGACATGGACACTTCTCTCTGGACAGTTTTGAGATCTTCAAGAAAAGTTAGTATGACAAAGAACAAGGATAAAGAATAAGGAAAACCAACCATATTGCTGGTTCTACTGGTACCTCCCAACCCTGGCTGCTGGAGACTGAGCTATATCTTCCCTTACAAAGCTGACCAGGGTCTCTTGTCTTTATGTGGCCCCGGACAAGGACAAGCCCAGGGCAAGGAACCCTCTGCAAGTCTGTGATCCTACTGTCATATGTCCCAGGCTGAGGGGGAAGGCTAGGATCCCCCAGCAAAGATGCTTCTGGCAGTGAAGAGTGGAGAGTATGGGGTGAGGGGCAAAAGCAAGCACAGCTTTGGAGCGCCTTTCGTGGGACAGGCTGGGAGGCCCCCAGGGACCCTCAGCTGTGGGTTTCAGTGAAGAGATGGCAGCTCACCAGGGTTGCTGGACAGGCAGACCTCCCAGAGTAATGTGTACACCTCCTGACTCCTGTGCCCATGGCTACACACAAGAGACATCTTTGTGGATGTTGCCAAATTGAAGTTGGAGAGATGAGATCACCCTGGTCATTCAGGTGGCCCCAAGTCCAATGACAGAAGTCCTGGTAAGAGGCAGAGCAGAGACTCAGAAGGAAAATGCAAGGTGAAGGGCACAGAGGTAGGGGTGTGTGGCCACAGCTGAGGAACACCTGGAGCTCCTGGGAGATCTGGGAAGGGTCCTCCCCCACTCCCTCTGAAGGGGTGAACACTGACTTCACACTCGGGTCTCTAGAGTGTGGAAGTCAGGTCTTTTCCAGGCTCTGCACATTTGCTGTGGCCACCCCAGGACACCCATCCCTGAGGCAATCAGAGGAATTTAAAGTGTTTTAGAAGCCTGGTATGGTGGCACATACCTTTAATCTCAGCACACAGGAGACAGAGGCAGGCAGTTCTCTGTGAGTCCAAGGCCAGCCTGGGCTACAGAGCAAGTTCCAGGACAGCCAAGGCTACACAGAGAAACCCTGTCTCAACACCCCTCCCCCAAAAGTGTTTTAGGAACAGTTAGAACGAGGGGGGCTCTTTGTGCCCACACTATCGGGGTCACTAAACTGGTGTGGAAACCACCTTGGCAACACCCCTCTCTTTGGCGTTGGTCATTCCAAGGAGCCTGGGCACCCATTCTGGTCTATTCTATTGCAAGTGAGTCATGAAGTCCAGCCCCCATTCCAGAAAGCAGAAATAAGCTACAGCTCTTGAAGCTTGTGTGAGTTGGTTCTCTTTTACCAGGTACATTCCAGGGATCAAACTCAGGTCAATGAGCTTGTCAGAAAGCACCTTAACTTGCTGAGCCATCTTGTTGGCTCCTAAAACATACTTTTAGACACACGTGAAACTTCTGTATCAGGTTCCATGAATGAGTTAGAAGAAGTAATGCTTGAAACCAGTGTGTTACTTTTTCTGTTGCTGTATGTGGTGGTTTGAATTCGAATGGCCCCATGGGGTCATATGTTTGAATGCTTTGTTACCTGGGGAAGATTAAGTGTGGCCTTATTGGAAGAAGTGTGTCACTGGAGGTGGACTTTGAGGTTTCAAAAGCCCAGGACAGGCTCAGTGGCTCTCTCTTCTTGCTGCCTTTGGATCTGGATGTAGTACTCTCAAAAATTATCTAGTACCACGTCTGTCTGTGTGCTGCCATGCTCTCTACATGATGATAATGGTGTAAACCTCTGAAACTGTAAGTAAGCCACAATTAAATGCTTTCTTTTATGAGTTGCAATCGTCATGGTGTCTTTTCATAGCAATAGAACACTCATTAAGACTAAAGTTGATACTAGGCATTAGGGTATTGCTGTGACAGGCCTGACCATGCTATTTGTTGGAGGAATATGGAAGACTTTAGGACTTTGGAACAGAAAAGCAGTTGGACACTTTAAGTGTGACTTAATAGGCCATCCTAGTAGGAGTATGGAAGACAGTGCTGAGGGCAATTTCAACTACAGGGGCCCAGCTCAAGAAGTTTCAGAGGGGAAGAATTTCAGCAAGTGGCCTAGAGATCTTTATTGTGATATTTTGGTGAAGAATGTGGGTGCTTTCTTCTCTTGTTCAAAAAAATCTGCCTGAGGCTAAAATGAAGATTTTTTTTTTGACTAATGATGTTGGCAGAAGAGATTTCAAAACATCTTAGTATTGACTCTGTCTTGTGGTTATTAGTGGTCACTCTTATGAAGATCTGTAATGAAAAATACAAAATGTAAGTTTGAGGAGAAAAGGAGCACCAGAAAGTATAAGGGAACTAAGTCCACTGCTCAAGGAGATAAAAAGTTTAAAGAAAAGCCTGATGCTAAATGGGATAAAGGGAGTGGTGACCTAAGAGCAAGATCCCACCCAGCAAAGCTTCTAACTTATTAAAAGGAATTAAAGAAAAGTTTAGGTAGTAAAGGAAACAATCAAAAACAGAAAGCAGGTAAAATGTGTTTGAACAAGGGGGCCAAGTCCCAGCCCCAACAAGCAGTAGAGCTTTGCTGTGGAGCAATCATTGTACTGTAAATATGTGTTGCTCTCATTGTTAATAAAAAGTTGATTGCCTGATGGCTATGTAAGATTTTTGGGGCAGAGAGAATGCTGGGGAGAAAAAGAGTGGAGTCAGAGGAGTTGCCAGTCAGATGGAAAGAAAGTGGTACATGCAGGGGAGGAAAAAGCCATGAGCCTCAGGGCAGCACATAGATTAATAGAAATGGGTTAATTTAAGTTGAAAAGCTAGTTAGTATTAAGTCTGAACTATCAGCTGAGCATTTATAGTTAACAATAAGTCTCTGAGTGGTTATTTGGGAAGCAGCTGGTGGAACAGAGCTGCTGGTGATCCCGACGAAAAACTCTGCTTACAAATGGCTCCCAAATGTCTGGCACTTATATCCACATAAAACCGGAGAAAGCTTAAAACAGGTTCTAAACACAGAAAAATGAAACCAAACAAACACCTCTTCCTAGACTCGTGTCTCTCATGTTGACTGCAGTACAGAGATGCATCCCCTGGCAGCTGCCAGCATGCCATGAGCTAAGCTGCATGGTGGGTTCGCGCAGTCTCTCACATGGGCCATGGTACAGAGAGGCAACTACCAGTCACTGCCTGAGGGCTTGAGCTGCCAGCATGAGCTCCACCAGCATGCTGCATGGCAAGTTTAGGGTTTTGTTCATGCAGATGGAAAAGGTTACAGATGATCAGTAAAGACAGATCCAGAGGAAAAAAAAACCTCTAAACAGGTTAAAGTGTGTTTAAAAAATGTACAAAGGCTTGGGAAACAAAAGAAAAAGGGTATAGACATTCATTATATATATAATTTTAAAATAATAAAGTCCTTAACACGGGTTTAAAGAAATATAAAAGAAAAAAGCCACATAAAGATGGGAAATACACAGAATCTGGACTCTGTATGTTATTGTGTTGCCTTTTAATTTTTGACTGCTAATGAATGAGTGATAAATACTAAGAAAAGTTGGATTATGGAAACGGCTAGATTAAACCAACCTATATATTTTAAAAATATCTTGACTTCAAAATGGAAGTCAAAACATATGTTACTTTAGGGGACAGGTTATGTTTTTATTTCTACAGGAAATGAGAGACTGTGGATTCATTCCAGGCTAAAGATGATCAGGTTTGATCAAGGAAGACCCTCTGAAAATCCTGACTATAGACACAAAGAAATAAATTTTAAGCAAACTCTACAAAATATGTAGCATATATTTTACCTGCTCAAACATAAAACAAAAAATCATCTTTGGCTGACTTGTGTACAACACACAGTCTATACTTCTACTAATACAAATATGTATGTTACCTTTAAAAGTTTATGTATTTTCAGAGCAAGGGGACCAGACACCAATGAAAACAAATGGCCCAGGTGATCCAGCATCTCAAAATGCCTCTGTTGCAGTTTCCTTGGAGTTCTGCATCCAGAAAAGCTTTGAGGCTGCTGGCTGAGATGGTCCAGCCTCACAAACTACTCCAGCCAAGTCTTAACCATTATCCCCCAAAGATGCCAATGCCCCCAAACAATAGGAAGTTGTCTAGAGAATGACACCCAAATTCCTAAAAGATGGGTTATGGATGTTTATTATCATTTAAGGGGTTGGTTACAAATTGTCTTTGGTCTTAGTACAAAGGCTAAACAAAGGAGTTAAATGCAAAGATCTCTTTCTAAAGGAAAAAAAGGGGATATGACATAAGAATGATAGAAAAAGGATAGATTATTGAATCTACTTTAATCCAAAAACAGAGTAGAAATATACATACAGTATAAAAATAACCTTAAATTTGTATCAATAAACCAAAATCCATAAAATATTTTGATATTAATAGTTGTTTCCTTTTGTCTGCTTGCCCCACCT